CTGGCCACATGACTCGGAACCTGTACACCGGCTCCCTCGGCCTGTAAAGCGAGATGAGCACCGCAACCCCAGAGTTGTCCGCGACTGGACCCAACGCTCAGGGGTCCCTTTACCTTTAATAGAGTATAAGATGCTTCCCTATGCACCTCCAGATAATTGACAAATAACCCACTTTGCATCACACCACCTTCAGCTATCCTATATATTTTGTATGTGTGTTTCATCCCTACACTCACAATTGTTTCACCTTTTATCTGTGGCAACCTCTGCAATAGGAGGAACATTTTTCATACTCTCTGAAGTAATACATGTTTCTGCAGGCAAGACCATGACCTCCCAAGCACATATGCATATATATTCAATGATGACTTAGCAAAGAACAAGCAGTAACAACTGAAATGATCCTGTTGAATGATTGTCTGTTGTCCAGAAACAATTCTAGCTATCTAAATCTCCCTGAAATATCATTAGTCTTCCCGGTTTATTCTAGATCATTAGTATGTTACAGATTTCTGCAATAAATGCTGTTTTATTTCATGCTGACAATATTTCTTCCAGGTCTGAAAGGCCACCAGGATTTGCCAGCAAATGTCCTTTATTCAGAAGATTCACATTCTCAAGGTTTGAGATTCTAAGTCTGTGTATCTTCCATTTCCAGCTCACCTAGTTCTCCACTAAGCATTTGTCATTCTCAATCATTTCTTGAAAAAGTAATATTAGGCCACTTTCATTGTAATGCTGTTGCCGAGCTAGTTTTTAAATATTTGTATCAAATCCATATGCAACACATGCTCTTGGTACAGTTTTCATAACCTTATGTAGAAGTTCAGGCACACAGGCAAGTATTTTTAAAATTATAACATTTCAACTAAATCCATTCTTTAGTTTTGAAAACATACTATGCATGTTATATATTATCTCTGTAGATCTGGGTTAATCTAAAAGCTTCACATAAAAAGCAAACTGAGGAATTATCTTTTTAGCACAGTGTATTCAGTCTTCTTTCACTAAAATAAACACACAAATACACAGAACTTGTAAAGTAAAAAGCTAGATGGCAATAAGGAACAAGAAAATATGTAAGATACAACGTGGCTTACTATATTAAATTCAGTTCTGTTCTTTATGGCTCCTTACAGAACCTGAAGCAGCTACCCTAGCAATCAAAGACGTTCTTGCCTGTTCCAATTTTGCAGTGCATCACAAGTATCTCTTTGAAGAAAAACAGCTGCGATCAAAAGTAGCTTCAGGTAAATCTACTTCCATTCTGCACTTTAGCATGGATATTTATCCTCCGACACAGGAGGACCCCTCCTCAGCTGCAATCCCCACCTACAACTGAAGTAGTCCATTCCAGACACACACGTACCACTTCTGTTTACCCTATTTATTGGCTATTTACTGTAATTCATCACAGCCAAGTCTGAATCTGAATGGAGAGGAGGGCTCTGCTGGGTCAGCTTGGATTTGTGCTGAATTGGGAAAGCATTAAGTATTCAATTTTATCAATGCTGTCAGTGCAAAAATGTTTACTTCAAATAATCCCAATCCTGAGATTTTTTTCCCCCCAGCAGGCTATGCACTTCTCGTCCTGCACGATTGTCAACCCTCAGAAGGGTTACATGGATTATACAAGTTTCTGTTTTGATCCTGGGTTTTGCATGTTGCACTGCTATGAAAGTGACTATAATCTCAATTGTAGAGCACATGCTTTGGCATGGAAACCTCCCTCCGGAGGTTGTGGGCACTTCTTCCTTGGAGGTTTTTAAGCATAGGTTACAGATGCTTTAGCTGAGACACAGATGTTTTAGTTGCACTTTATCATCAAAGGTGGAAGTATTTCCTCTGCCCCAACTGGAGCAACTCTTATGTCAGATCTAAGATTTATCTGTCATGGATTGCCCTTTTAGTACCAACGCATTACTTTCAGTCACAGAGCAAACATGAATAAATCTAATAAAAAATGGACAAGCAAAAAGTTTTTCTCAACCAGCTTCATAAGTTTCCTGTGTACTTCATAGTTTCTTGTTGGTGACTTCATTATGTTAAATAGGACAGATGCAAGTGAGTGATCTGTATTTATTTGGATCTGTATTTATTTAGTTAATGTGTTACAGTACGGTTTTCTAAACCTCTCCCATCTGTTTTTCAGGAAATCCTTCAGAAGACAAGAAAGACCCATGTAAATGTGAAAACTTTATGACGTTCCAGAATTTTGCAAATGCTGAAGTTAAAAAACTAACACGACAACATATCCTTTTTTATATACCTATTTCATAAATTCTCAGCTTCTGAGAAAGTAATACAGCAAATCCTCAATTGACACGCAGATTTATAGTTAAATCACATTTAGTCTTTAATAGGATGCAAATCCTGCTGGTTGCAATCCCATCTAAATAGCCAGCATCCACAGTATTTTGGGGAGTGGGGTGGAAGAGAAAGGGCATCCATACCTTTTCCTATTCCACTAGAACCTCTGCTTTTCATTAATGATATAAGGAATTTTCCTCTGAACCCCCTTAGCCTGTTGAACTGTGTCAGGGTGGCTGAGATCAGAGGCACAAGCAGCTTGGCAATTTTAGATTACCTGGTGGCTTTCTGAAAGAATGTTAGTGGTGATAAATGTGGAACACAGGCTCCCTCTAGCGGCCACACCAAAATTCAGAACTGTGGCCAATATATAATGCAGTTTCAATTCAGAAAAATAAAGAACATAGCAAAATTCACAACATCAAATAGGTAGTTAGGTCTGTGCCTCATAGGCTACTTCAATCCACAAAGGTGCATCACCTATGTAGGGCTTACATGTACACTTTACAAATGGGTGATGCGGTTATTTCATGTAGTGATAAATTCTTGGATGATCTTTGAGTACAAATGCAGCCCAATCCAGCCAAGAACACGCAGGTAAGAAGTGTGGGAAACAGGCTAACTCATCTCCTCTCACCGATATACCTAGAAGTGTATTTGCAACAGCATAGCAGTACACTCTATTACAGCAGGAGCAGGCCTACTGCTCTTACCCTTGCCAAAGGTCTACCTAAGCCAATATACTGTTATACACTGTGCTGATCTTCATGCCTCTGGGAAGACCAGAATCAGGACAAGTTACTTCTACTGAACAGCCTTATGTGGGATCCTCATTATGTACAAGTTGGTTGAAAATTTCTAACCATTAATACAGTGCTGCTGTAGTCTATACTTTATAATATTATAAAAAAAGAGTGAAGAGGTGTTTCCTTAATTTAAGATTACTAGAAGAAATGTCAAAAAGAATGGAAGCCCTGGAAAATCGATTAAGATACTGATGGTGTTCTCAAAAGTATGTGCTGAGTTGGATATTTATACATATGAAGAGAGCAAATCTAAGCTATGTAAAAGAGCCAGTCTCCTGCTGGAAGAAAGAATTTATGGTTCCAGTACTTCAAGACTGCATTTTTGTATTGACTGCAAGAAAAAATGGCAAGATTTAATTTTTTATACAATTGTAATATTTTTATCAATTGAGATAAGCTATGAAATATTAAAATGGTGCTTTTAAAAGAACAGTTTAAATTGTTTAGAGACATACAAGGCCCTATTATGTAGTCTTTGATCTAATTGAGACAGTGGAAACATGTACATGTTACCAAGCAGCTTCCCAAGCTTGTCCTAAAATACCAATATGGGGAAAGATGCTTTAACCCTCAAGGGAAAAATAGTCTGAGGCACTGGTAGGAGCACCTTGGCTAGCAAGTTTAAGCACACACATGCACCTTCCCCTTACAAAAACCCCACTCATGTTAACCAGCAAACTCAAGTTTGGGATACCTGTGGTATTGTAACATGCAGTACTACCCCAAAGCTGAATCTCAGCTTTGCTATCCTACAGAACATGGCACTAGATGCAAGTACACTCTAAAAATATCCGCCAATAGGGCAAAAGAGGGGATGACCGCTTAGTACATTGAGAAAATGGCTTTTATGCCAGAATGCACATTTGGGTTATTGTTGCAACTGCACAATTCAGCATTAATAGTCTAAGAAATACAGGCAGCTCCAACTCTGAATTGCGTGAAAAGTGAAGCCCAAGTCCCAACAGTCTTGTTTCCTTCCCAGTATCTAGTTCTTTAGTGGCTTTATCTCAAGCTACTATCCCAGACGCCTTTCTGCTGCCAAGAAAGAACGTTACTGATTCCAAGACCTTTTGGCTTCTGGAGCTTAAAAAGTCGTAAGACATTTTTATCCCAGCATTGTAAGAAACAGAAGTGCCCCCGAAACCAAAGTTCTGATCATTTGAGAATTTATATAAATACTTTTGGTTGAGCTGCAACAATAAAATAAAGCTTCTTCTAGAGCCCTTGGAAGCCACTTCTGAATATTTCTGAAAACATTTGATTTTCACTTATGATTATCAGACCAAAGGGTGATAATAATTATTATCTCCATTATTTTTGAATTTTAGAGCAGCAACCAGACCACTTACCCATTTCAATACAGAATCCAGAAACCCCATTTTTAATTCTATTTAATTTTTGAAACTTCACCTTGGGGTGAAGGGAAGGTAGCAAATAGTAACAATCTTATACAGTATTGTATCATTTTCAATTGATAGCACCCTTGTTTGCAAATTCATACCTTATTTGCCACAGGCTTGCGTGGCAAAGCAATGAAATGGGCAGGGTATTATGGTAGACAACCCAATTTCACAAAACTCCCATTAATATAAATTCTGTTAAGCAATTGCCTCCCTTTCTCACTGAGTGACTATTGACATTTTTGTTGTCTGAACTAGTTTTGAGCCAAGTACGATAAAACATTATGCTTTCACAGCTGCAAGGCACTACATTCTAGAGAGGGTGGAGAATAAGGTAGTACAACTTCTACTAAAGATGCAGTCAAAAGCACATCAGCGCTCCAGAGTTTGTGGTAACATACCCTAGACCTGGCTTCCCCAATCTTGTGGTCTTCATGTTTTGCAACTATGAATATATGCAACTCAAGAAAGCTCCTGCCAATGGTAGATTTGTAACCAGTTTTATTACACAAAATGTAAAGTTCAGCAATATCTACTTCTCACTGGTTTGCTCTGGCATGCTTCTAATGATGTCAGAATCACCTGTTGAGAGGGAGAAAAGACATATTTTAACTAACACTATAGCAAATGGTGCTGCACAATTAATTATTCGTATCAAGATGCCAACAACCCATTCTTCCTTTTAGATGTGTATTCATATGAACATTTTCCAGCATAAATTCAAAACTTTTAATTATATTGTAATTTAATTACATTCTAAAGATGTTACTTGCAGTTTAAACCCAGAACTAGGGAGGCAAATCTAGCTCTGGGGACACACTACATAGTTATAATATAGCGAATGTCTAGCCTGCCCTGATCACTGAAATATCAGGACAGCGAGAATATTCGCAGTGCTTTAAAAGTTCAAAATGCAATACCTTAAGGAGTAGTTTGAGAGTAATGGCTTTTATACAGTAAGATATTACTTAAACTAACTAGATATTTTGAAGATGTTGGAGTGGGTTGGATTTATATTCTCAGGGACCTGTAGATCACTTTCCTATGTATCTCCAGAATTAACTGATTCAGACTACAATATAATGTAAGCTTGGTGAAGTTCACTATGATTTAGCTCTAAAGCGACTGTGGACTCTAATATATGAAGAGCTGGGGGTTTAGAATCAGGACGGTTTCCAGAGAATGTAATGAATGGACTTCGTAGAAGTAAATCACCATAAGACTCTTCAGCATATCCAAGGGTATTGTGGTACCAAATAAACAACATACCTGGGTCAATAATGGCAAGTGTACACACTCTGTAGTACTTTCCACAAGCTGTACCCAATTCAATATTGTTACCGCTGTAGTGGTGCACACCAGTTTTGGCCAACATAGCATAGTATTCAGTTTCTGATTTCCTGAGAATTAAACACACATGGAAGCAAAACCAATGTTTAAATTTATGGATTTTAATCTACAATACAGGCTGAAAATTTCACATGAGCACTAAACATTATTCCTCATGAAAGGCTTCATCATTTATCCCTGAAACCTTCTACTATCTAGATAGGGAGTCTAGCAGCTATAAAGATATCTTTGTTTTATAAGGGATATGGAACATTACTATGCCATAGCAAAAATAGTCATGTTTAAGTGCTAAATCAGTATTTCCAATACATTTTGGGTCATGGCGTCAAGGTTTATTTATCTCCCATTTACCAAGAGCAAAAATATGCTGGTGAAAATGTGGTCAAGTCTACATACGTACCTTCATCATTACTTGGAGCAACTTATTTTATAAAATTATTTTAGTGAGAGATTACACCTAAGATTAACAGCACAATACTATGCATGCTTGTTGAAAAGTAATTCTAACTTAGTTCAATGGGGCTTGCCCCCAGGCAAGTGTGCACAAGAGTCCCACTTAAAACAATTTTTGGTTGTTATTATTATTAAACCCTGGCCATCTAAACAACATGCTCAATTTGTTTACAAATTTGTCTCAAATTTTCAGTACTATAGATCACTGTTACCCAACCAGGGGCCATCACTATTTCCCAACCAGGGATCAGGATATTCCAAGGAGGCCACAGGTGAAAATCACATAAATGGGGGGCCACAGCACGAGACTAGGGGGCTACAGAGGGAAGTGAGAAGTGAACAAAATAGAAGTCAGAAAAAGGTTGAGAAACTGCTGTAGATACAAACTTACCTTAGAGCTGGGCAGTTGTTGGCTAGGATGACCAACTTGGCTTTGCCCTGTCGGATCATCTTCAGAGTCTGCTTGTATCCCAGTACGTATTTACCACTTTTCATAACCAGCTGAAGTCTAGAGTTTATGGATTCGAGGGACTTTTTCTGAAAGAAAATGTTAAGGTATGGCCACTTCAAAATGATTCTAGCATTTATGAACAATTAAGTTCTATATTCCACATGTCTGGGCTTACTGCACTCATCTAAGAATATGTATCACACAAAACACATCAAATAATGCATAATGATGATGAACTTAAATGTTAAAACTTATTAGATTTTTTTGTTTAATTTCTCCTCTTAAAAAAAATCAAGACAGGAGTTATTTGTACACAGCTACGTGTTTTAGCTCTTAAACCAGGGTCTTAGGAAGAAAAGGGAAAAACATCCCCAATTAAAAATAGTATTTTATAGTTACTGCTTGTTTCTTATAATATACAACTTACATAGCCATGCTGATAGGATATATCTCTTAAACTGTAAGAGTTACTGACACTTGACATCCTGCCCTTACACTATTGTCTCTGCTTTCTAAAACGAAAACTCCTGAATTCTATCTCTTTTATACCAAGTCTTTAAAAATTACTTTAAGAACCTGGTAATCTCAGTGGGCCTGGGTTCTTACAAAGTACGGGAAATCTGCAGCCTTATGCTGACAGAAAATGCATGCCTCACCCAAAATTTATACACCTGTCATTCTCGAAAACAATCCAACTTCACTGCCATTTGATTAAGCAGAAAAGCTGAGGCCACATGCAACACCACTCTCCTGCAACCTTATATTCAACTCATCACACGGAGAGATAAATTCATATAAAGCCACCATTGTGCAAATAGGCCACAGGCAGCTCCTTATGTATAGAAGAAAAACACAGTACTCCTTGCACACACGTCTACTAGCAAAAGCCTAGGAAACTAACACTGAAGTACTGGATTGGCAAAGGCCTTGAGCTGCAAGGAACCAAGAACGTACTCTTTATGAAATGCATACCGCTCCACCAAATAAGCAAATAAATCACATTAGGCTGTGCTTTCATGCAAGACAATATTTTTTAAAAAACGCGATCTATAAATTAAAACCCGACAAAGATTAAATAAAAATTAATGACTCTACAACCAGGTTTGGCCCCAAGTTTCACAGGCTCCTCGCCCCGAAGATCACCCTCCTCTCCTCCCGTTTCTGCCTTTCCCCACATGAGGCCCCCTTCCGCCCTCCTGCTGCCCCCCATGCCCGGCTCTTCCTCTCACCGTCTTCTTGGCGGCCACCATCCTGTCGGCTCACGTCGGCTCCGCCGTTACCTGCGCCAAAGAAAACGGGGAGGGATGGGGAGAGAGAATTAACGTCCCACCGTATCCAGTCCCACTTGCTGCGCTTCCCGCCCCGCGTAAACTCGGCTTTCCCTTCCTCACCCGGCTCCCCTCACCGAACCCCGCGGAGACCCGCTTACCAGAGAGGCACCTCCAAGATGGCCGGGCCGCGAGGAAAGGAAGGAGCTCCCGCAATGCAACGCGCAAAACCACGCGGCGCCCGGCCGCCGCGAACGGCTACGCTCGCGAGAGGAGGAAATTTCCGCCCACTCCCCGTGGCCAAATTCCCAAACGTGGAGCATGCGCACAAGCCTCGAAATGGTACCATAGAGATAGAAAAAGGGTCTATGACAGGCTTTCTCGCCCGGCTGCGCGAACGGCTACTCGCCGTGGCCAAACGGGAAGTGCGTTGCATGGAGCATGCGCACAAGCCTCGAGATGGTACCATAGAGATAGAAAAAACTCTATGACAGGCTTTTTCAACCTTGGTGCCTCAAACGGTGTTGGGACTACGCTCCCCATCATACTTGATCCCCTGCTGTAGTCCAGCAGCGTCTGGAGGCCCAAGGTCGGTCTGGAGAAGGCTGACCGAGAAGAACTGTAACGGCCATTCTGAAAGGAGTTTGAGGCGGCTCCGTCTCGGAGACGAACGGCGACGTCTTTACATTTTCCTATCTCTATGCCGCACTTGGCCTGAGCAGCCTCCTCTCTTTGCTTCTCCTCCGCAGAGAGCGAGCTCTGTAAATGAGAGAGACTCGAGCCATCCTGCTAACTTAGGATACAGTTGTGCTTGAAAGGATATGCTCAAATAAAAAGGCATATAATTCAAGTGTTTGGGCGGGGGGGGGGGAGTCCTCCGTCTTAATATGATCTATGGCCAAAATGTATTGTGAAGAAAGACATGGCTGCTTAAATTAAAAAAAAAATGTAAAGCATATTACTCTGGAGTAAACAAACGACTTAATTCAAAGCAAAGCAGCACTAGCACTTAATCTTAAAATTCTATTTTCAGTGTAGATGGGGCAACAACTACACCAGGCCACTGAATTTTGCTGCTTTGTACTTACCTAGAATGATTTCAGCTATGGTGAGAACATGTACAGTAGAACCTTGGTTCTCGAACGGCTTAGTTGACGAACAAATCGGAACCTGAATGCTGCAAACCTGGAAGTAAGTGTTCCGGTTTGTGAACTTTTTTCGGAAGCTGAATGCTTCCATTCTGAGAACTTCCGCTGAGGACCCATGCAACACGCTGGTGATATTTGGAGCTTATATTTCGCAATTTTGTTTTTGCGACTTACTTGGCGATTTTGTTTCTGCAACTTATTTGGCGGTTTTGTTTCTGCGAGCATTTTGGTTAATTTGTTTTTGTGACTCTGTGGAACCCAGTTCAGCTACTGTATTTTCAGGAGCACTCTTGCAATTTGATTGTGTGACTGTGCGAAAATGGATAAAAGTTGCAAAGGCAAGAGAACCATTAACAGAGCAACAATAGAGGTGAAGAAGAAAATTATTTCCAAGCATGAAAGTGGTATCCGTGTAAGTGACCTGGCAACGCAGTTTGGTATGGCCAAATCTACAATTTGTACCATCTTAAAAAATAAGGAAGCCATTAAAGGTGCCAATGTTGCAAAAGGTGTTAAAACACTCACAAGGCAACGAACACAGACAATTGAAGAAGTGGAAAAACTGCTTTTAGCATGGATAAAAGAAAAACAGTTGGCCGGTGACAGCATTTCTGAGAGCATGATTTGTGAAAAAGCTTTACATTTGCATGCTGAACTCATCAGAAACACCCCTGGAGCAAGTGTTGAGGGTGATATTTTCAAGGCAAGTAGAGGTTGGTTTGATAATTTTAAGAGAAGAAGTGGCATACACAGTGTGGTGAGACATGGCGAAGCTGCCAGTGCCAACAAATTGGATGCTGACCGATTTGTTTTGGATTTTAAAGATTATGTTGAGTCACAGGGTTTCATTCCCCAACAAGTTTTCAACTGTGATGAGACAGGCCTCTTTCGGAAGAAAATGCCAAAGAGGACCTACATAACAAAGGAGGAGAAATCATTGCAAGTGAATAGTGATGATGTGGAGGACCACAAGACTGAGCTCACCGCAGAAGAAGAACAGAACATTCTGACGGAGCAGCAACAGGCGGCAACTGAGGAAATACCTTCAGAGGAGGAGAGCAGAGGAATTGTATCTACTGCACTGATCAAAGAAATGTGTGCAAAATGGGCTGAAGTGCAAAGTTTTGTTGAAAAATATCACCCTGATAAAGCTGCTGTAAGTCATGCCGCCAACACTTTCAATGATAATGCTATGTCTCACTTTAGGCAAATTTTAAAACATCAGCAAAAGCAAATCTCAACTGAAAAAAAAATAGTGAGGAAAATTATCAGTGGGTCTGAACCAGGTGTCAGTGGTGTAAGAAAAGCAAGGGAAGGAATGGCAGGAGAGGAGTCACCGATTGCAATTCCAGAAGAGGACCCTGACCCTCCATCCAAACAATGACTATCATCCATGAAGGTAAGAAAAAAAAATACATTTTTATCTACAATACTGTTTTATTTTACAGTACAGCACATTGTTTATTGCTTTCATTTTATGGATCAATGGTCTCGTTAGATAATAAAATTCACGTTAAATTTCTGTTTTAGGGGTTGTTTTTAAAAGTCTGGAACAGATTAATCCTTTTTGCATTATTTTCTATGGGAAAGTGCGCCTTGGTTTTCAAATGTTTTGGAAGTCGAACGGATTAAGTTCGAGAACCAAGGTACCTCTGTATATTCAAATCAATGGCCCTGTCATGGGCTCCCACATGACTCCACAGTATGCCAACATTTTCATGACTGGTTAGAACAACACTTAGCTGCTGTCTCCAAAAAGTCTCACTTCTACCCAAGATAAATGGATTCCATCTTGATCACCTGAACAGGAGGCACTTAATGCAGTTTCTATAAGGCTTCAACAAATTCCACTGTGCCAACAACCTAAGACTAAGCCAGTCTTTGCAAGCAGTTCAGTTTCTGGACACTGCAAAATAGCGCAACTTTCTGCATTTCCTTTCCTTCTGACCTCACTGTTTACAATTCCCTACTCCCTTCACTATGTGTATATATAGCTGCCGCTCAGAAAAACACTTCATGCGTTTGATGGCGTGGACTGTAGCCCATAAAATCTTAATGCATTTGTTAGTCTTTAAGGTGCCACAAGACTCACTCTTGTTTTCTTTATAATCTATTGCTATCAAAGATGGCAAACCTGGGGATAATTTGTGCTTAAGTTTATGCCACACAGAATGCATATTTCTCTCACATGGATTTGATTTGGCTTCTTTTAGACTTACTAGTCCAGCTGTGTTTTATCAGTGTGGACATCCTAATCTTTGCATTACTCTAAAAGCTGCCAGAGCTGTTTTGACATGCCCTATAAACAGGCAGATATTAAACTTATTGCTTTTGTACATTTGCACCCTCAGACAAATGAGAAAGCTTTATTAGAATTCCATTCTGGCACCCACACTAATTACTTTTCTTTCTATGGGTATTAAAAGTGGCAGACTGAGCTTTATGATAATGATCATATTTAAAGCAAGTGTAAACATGTTCATTCAATTTTCCCTGGTTCATGCACTGTCCTATTCATTTATTGTCATGAAAACAACTATGCCTCATTGTTCCAAAGCGAGCAAATCTGGAATTTGGGATACTAACAAGGTTGGCATTTGCTGAATCAGCATCAACATTTCTTGTCACTCAGCCATCCAATCAAAAAACAGTTCCAGAACAAAAATGGATAAAGGAATGAAGTTCCGCTGGAGGGCAGAGAAAATCCTGATGCTTATTGTCAATTTGAGCATATCCAAAAACATTCAATGCCCAGTTTAAACATGAGTAATACTGTTAGAAGAGTCACTCGAATAACACAAATGGAGTCCAGAGAGAAAAGAAATTGGTAATACTTTACTAGGGGAAACTGAACTATACAGAAATATACAGAGAAGTTTCTTAATTCAGATCTAGTACATAGGGAGGCATACAATTACACAAAGGAGGAAACACCTTTGGACGTAACCAGCCAATCAGAGCTTGAGTTACCACAGCAAGGATTGTGCCAATCTCACTGGTTGCTAGGCAACACCACCACCCGCTCTAGGTTGGCTAACTAAACAATTAACCCTTCGGTTGCTAACTGAATGATCCCTGCTGTTGCACTTCTAAGAAATGCAGTCTTGTAAAAAGCCATGAAATTCTGGGCATTGTAGTTTGTTAAGGTTGCTGGTGATGTTAGCTGTGTGAGAGGTTAACTACAGTGCCCAGATTTTTTTGAGAGAAAGAATGTGTTTCCAAAGTGCTTTAAAGTTATAGTGCGTGCACAGCTTAGATTATTATGAACATATCCTCTTATTCCATCATACAATTCAAGGCCAGTTGTAGGAGATTCCTTTATAATAGGGGTGGGGAACCCATGCTCCTTCAACTCCCATCAGTCTAAGCCAGTGTTTCCCAACCACTGTTCCGTGGCACACTAGTGTGCCGCGAGATGTTGCCTGGTGTGCCGCGAGATGTTGCCTGGAGGGAGGCGGGCGAGTCGGGCGGCGAGAGGCGGGGCGGCGGCGAGGAGAGGCCGCCCAGCGCGGGGCTTTCGCCGTCTGCGTGCCTGGCTGCCTGCGAGCTCGGCGGGCAGCGCCTCCGTCCGCAGCGCCCGCCTCGCGGCTCTCATTCCCTGCCCCTGCCAAAGCTCACCCAGCCAAGCCGTGCTCTCCTTCCTGCCTCGCTTTGCTGCCTCCTCCCCCCCACCCCCAAAGCTTGGAGGTTCCCCGGCAAGGGGGAGGGGAAAAAATTGAAACTTACACTTTCGTGCGTCCCTCTCGGCGTGACGCTGCGCGCTGACGTCACGGGGCTGTAATGGTGGTGTGCCTCGAGATTTTTTTCATCAAACAAGTGTGCCTTTGCCCAAAAAAGGTTGGGAAACACTGGTCTAAGCCATCATGGCCAATGTTTAGGAATGATAAGAGCTTGTTCACAGAGCAGACCAGGGGAGGTGTGCAGAGGTCAGCAAGTTCTCCATTCCTGCCTTGTAGGCGGTGTTTTGCCCCAGGCCTGAGATTCCCCACCCAGCTTTTAGATTGTACACCTGCCCTGGTCTGCTCTGTGAACAAGCTGCAATCAGTACAGGAATCACATGTGCTTCACATGTGCTTGACATTTTTTTAAAAAAAAAACACCATTCTAGAAGTCTCTTTATTGCAAATATTGCAATAATTAGAACAATTAGATACACAGCCTCTCATTTGCAGAAGTTAATGGGTGTCTACGGCACAGATTCATGAAGTCTGTTTGACAACAGAAATGTGATTATGATTAGGGCTGTGGTTTCAATACGTTTACTCTGACATAATGCGTTTTGATAACCTTTGATGGTGGTTGGATTTTAAGACATTTGAGGGCTTGCACTGTTTTCGCTAATGTAAATAAGGTTTTAAATTTCTACAGTAAACGTGAAAGAGTTGTGCACTTTGTGTTCACTTATGTTTGCGTTGCATGTAAAAGGTTTCTGGCAGAACATAAACGGCTGTTGTGTCTTACAGCTTTACACAAACCGGTGCCATGTCTAGCCCTGAACTGGCACTAAGTACTTGAAGGGGTGAAACCGACACCCCAAAGGTGGAGGACTTTGAGGTCTATGCTGGATCGCCTGGAATGAATGCTGAGGATCCCCTTGACAGGCTGTCTGGTGAGAAACTGTCTGAAGAACCCTTTGAGCTGTCAGAGGAAGAGACTGAGCCAGCCCTCAGTCCTTGAATAACTCTGGCACCAATTGGCCTGGGCACAGACTGAAGAGCAATGACCTAGCATGGGTCTACAGACCAAGACGTTGTACATGGTAAGCAATTGTTGGAACTCCTTTACTACCAGCAGCTGGGGTTAGGATGTTATGTATGAGTCTCACACATTAGCCTTCTAGTTGTAGGAAACAACACAGATATCTCTTCTTGTTTGTGGGATCCTTAGTCCTGCTTCCAGTTCCCTCACCTTGCTGAATTCACTGTGATGTTGAACTTGGGTGTAGTTTTGATCACATTTTGGACCTAGCCTGATTCTCTGTGCTAGACTTTGGCTCAAGACCATAGCCCCCCGAGGGCATGCCCTGCAGCGTGACAGTTGTTTCATTTAACCAGTGTCCTTAGTAATTCATATCTATCCACTGGTATGTTGCAAATGCCACCACTGTTGCATCATTTGGTGTTAAACAGTGACCAGCATCACGTGCTCTTTGACCTGATAGAACAATTCCTTGAGATAGTCACAGAAGGAAACGTTTGCAGTTCAATCCTGTACAATTCAACTCAGAAATATGCCTCACTGCGTTCAGTGGGGCGTACAGGTAAAGGTCTATAGGAGAGCAACCTCATTTAACTAAACTTTAATTCGTAAAGTAACACCCCTCCCCAAAAAGCCCCCTAGGTTTCAAAACTTATTTGTTCATTGTCAGTTCTTTTTCGCATTGTTTTGTGTGGCAACTTCTTATTTAATTCTACAGAAGTGCAATCAAGGTTATGGTTTGAAGGCATGTAGGGCCATCATCTCGCTGAAACTAAACTGGTGGGGGTCCAGCCAGCAGCTACATGAGAGACTGCATGCAGCTTAAGACTCTGACTCAAAGAACATCATCCCCAGAAAATAAATTTATCTATTGTAAAGGTATTTTACCAAACAAATAAGACAATTGATAACATTCCCCCCTCAAAGACTTTGCTTTTACACTGAAAACACCCCCGTTTGATTTATTTATTGAACCACAGTTTATGTGGTTTGTCATATGAAAACATCCACCATAGTTTCATAATTACAGTCGCTATGAAGAGGCTGCCAAGAAATGCTTTCTTGGTTGCAGGGGCTCATGAGAGCAGCATACCTTGTGGACTGGCATGGAAAATATGCCAATCTCAAGGAAGCCACCAGGAATGCACAGGAAGCAGCAGCAACCTCACAGCAACCAAGTATGAGTACTGGTTATATAATGCATAAAAAGGCCATAATTACTTGTTTTTAAAGTCTGTTATTTTATTGGTATTCTCCTATGAATGTTTTACATAACTTTATGTAAACTGCTTAGAGTTGTTTTGGTTAGGTGGCATACAATCTTGTTAAATAAATACATGAATTTAAGCAAGGCCTATTAGGATTTGTATACTGAAGCCATTTAAAACAATGGAAACATGCAATGTATTTTGCTGTGTGGCTGTTCTTATTTGTTCCTTTGTCAATTTTTAGTGTATTTCGTGTTTCTCATATTAGTCACATTGGATTGTACAAGGAAAAGTAGGATATAAATATTTGAAATACTGTACATACATGCAGTGACTACGACCACCAGGTCGAATCCTGGCTAAGAAACAGGTCTTTCCTCACTGCCTGGTGGGGACAGAGTTTGGATGACATATAGCTATTTCTCTGCCAGTACTGTTGCGGAGGCCCTACCTTCATTCACACAGAAAGCGTCCAAAAGGGATAAGGCACCAGTAAATTTGAATCTGCTGGATCTGAAGCCCCACAGATCTCCTGAGGAGCCTGATCTGGTGTAGCACAATTAGACAAAACCACTGACACGTTCCCATCTTGGGATGTCCCAATGGGTCTGCCACCCCCTTCTCCTTGACCCCACTTAGGATTCTCACTGGGTGACTTTGGGGTAGTCAATTATCACAGGGTTAAAATGTAAGGGTTGTGGTACGGACAAAATTGGGTGGGGGGGGGATTGAGACTGAAGGGACCACCTACTATTAAGAGAATGCCAATCTCTTTGGGCCAGATGGCACATTTGGAATTTTTAGAAAGATCCCCTGGCAACAATCACAAAATGGTGGCATAATACCAAATGCCTACCCCATAAAAAAGAGGCAGCACCACAAAATGGTGCAACATATGCTACCTCTGCATTGACTGCTCCATAAGTGGGAAAAGGTACATACAGAAAGCAGCTCTTTGTACCTCTTTTCTGTTCAGAAGGGATGGGAGAATGGGTGTTGAATTCTGGCTTCCAATGAAATATGGAAATATTTAAAGTGGGGAGGTTCAATCATGGGCATAGCCAGGATTTATGTTGGGGGGCAGGATTTATGTTGGGGGGGGGCATAACCAAGCTATCTGTGATTGGTCAGTTACTTAACTATTTTTATTTATTTATTTGATTTAGGGGAGCAGGTGCCCTCTGCCCCCCCCCTTCAGCTATGCCCATGGGTTCATTGCAAAAGAGGATGAATCGTGCAAACAGGAACTGAGTACAAACCATCTCTGGTGCACTGGGCATTTTCAATAGACTATTTGTGGACCTTATAGGAGGTACTGGTAGGTACATTCCCACCTGGGGACACCACCCTTGATGTACCTCAACCAGATTTCCTTGGCAAAAGGGTGGGATAAACATGTCACTCATAACGACTATTTTCCAGCACTGCAGCATATAATCCACAATAAAACCCACCATGGGAGCCTTATAGCTGCTTCACATACATTTTGAGAGGCAGGGGTGCAACTGGTAATTTGAAACTCAGGATTTACAGGGCATGGGGGAATCTCTTTGTATAGCTCAGCTGCGGGGAGCCTTTGGCGCTACTGCTGTCCTTGAACTACAACTCCTACCAGCCCCAGCAAACAAGGCTTGCCTGGGAGTCTTAGTTCAGCAACACCCAGGGGCCTTGCAGAGCCAGGTAGATAATGTGCCCCCCCTTTTTGTTTTACCCTGGGGATAACGGAAGTCTTATAAACAAGTATATAAATAATTTTCACAAAAGTTATGCTGACAAATAATTTTATTTCAAGGCTTGAACCATATCTGTATATAAAGACAAAAAGGAAAATATAGATAAAGATGCTGACCGATGCCCCCTTTGGAATGGGAGGCAACACCCGGAGGGTCAAAGGCTGCCCACCACGTCTTCTCTAGGGGATCATATTTATTGGATCGCTTATTTCAAATTTTTGGGGTGCCAGCCCTGCTGGAAGGGGCCCCGGCCATCCGCCCCCAGCACCGATTTATCTCCCTGCTCTTGTTTAATATCTATATTGGTCGCAGGGGAGGCAAGCCCAAAGCAAACAGAGGGGGCAGCCGCCCACTAGGCCCTACTGCCGCGTTAAATTGCGATTTAAAAAAGCGACACCAGCGACGTGCCCCGTCCCCGTTGTGTCACCATCACCTCACTGGACCTCCCGAGCTCTGCCCCGCCGAGCCGCCACGAGGCTCCCGTCCCGCCGCGCCTGCGCCGTGCGAAGAAGAATGCCCAAAGTTTGGAGCGCCCCGTGTTCGGCTCCCCCTGGCCGCGCGCCGTTCTCATGGCAACCGAGCTCGAGCGATAAACACTCCGGCGGGAGCCTATGAGAGGGAAGTTCCTCGGCACGCGCAGCTCAGCAGGGGGGCGGCGGCGTCCGCTTTCCCCGCTTTTTAGCGCCTGGGAGAGGAGACACCTGCGCGCATTCCCTTCGGCGGCAGCGGAGCGGCAGGTTCGCTTCCCGCGGAGGAGCCGCCCCGGGAGACCCGCTTCTTTGCCTCGGCCCCGGTGTGGGGAGTGGGGTCCCGCCGCGCAAATGGGGTGCTCCAGCAGCGCTCAGACCCAGGTCAAGGACTGCAGCCGGCCGGCTCCCAAGTCTCCGGACGCCAACGGGCTGCAGAAATGCGGTGAGCGCCCCTTAGGCTCCCTGCTGCTGCTGCTACCAATTTATTATTTCTCCTTTAAAAAAAAGTTTCTATCCTGCCCTTAGAAAATTGCTGCTGCTGCTGCTCTGGCAAGCGGAGCAGGCAGGGGACGCGGGCTCAGCACACCTGTAGTAATTAATGGTAAAAGCAGCACCTAATTTAATTCCCGCTTGATATTCGCTCCCATTGTAATATTGGGAGTTATGTGGCAGTGAAACTTTTATTATATGTGCCGCTCAGTCGGGGGTTTGCGCGTCGTGCATCAAAGGTAGCCTCTCGAGCCGTAATACGTTTGTAAGGAAGGGGTACAAATGTGGTTTTCCCCTCACGGAGCTACATTTCCCAGCACCCGTAGCAAACCGCAGTTCCCAGGATCCTGTGTGTTTGAAATATACGGTGTGTTAAGTTTTTGTGTGTGTGGTTTTTTTTTAAGGTGTCGCAATATTCTTTTCGTAGCAAGAGGCGCTCAGTTAAAAGAGCTGAATCTGGTGCGGGGAGGGAAGAAGGATTCAAAACCGTTTGGAGCCCTATTATTTTTAAGGGTCGCCACACCTGTTCTTTTGGGTTGGGAATTCTGCTTTTCTCGAGCCTATATAACAAGGTGCATTGCTCAAGTTCTGTTTCCTTCTGTACATCCAGTAAAGAGGCAGGTCCAGTCCTCCTTTGATTATCCTTTCTGCATTCCTTGCTATCTTCAGATGGGAAGATACTTTTAACCTCTGGTCCATAATCTGTAAAGTAGTATTCCCTACTAGTCCTACTTAGAGAAGACTCATGGAAAATAATGAACATGGCTAATTAATTTCAGGTCCATTAATTTCAATGGGTTTATTCTGAGGAAACAATTAGTTGAATAGAACCCTAAATTTGCTCCCTCTTTTCTTGCCTACCCCCATGCCTCCTTTTTACTTTCTCTGTGGCTAATGGAAGTAAGCAAAAGAATAAAAAGTTGCGGTGGGGGGAGCCCACTTCCCACCTTAGTTTATCTTGGCTTGTTCTAGTACTAAAATTGCCATTCTGGCAATATTCATCCTGATCCGCAGGAGCTAGTCCATTTAATTGTACTTCTAAATAAGCTATTATAGGGCTGTGGGCCTATTTTGTAACTTCCGATAAACTGCATATGGCTGTGTCATTGTTATGTAAGTTTGGCAGATATTTTGTTTTAATAACCTAGTCTACAGACCTGTGTTAAACTGGACTGCTAAGAGTTAAGAGGTATTAACTCTCCAGTATAAATTATAACCAGGCTTCAAAAAAAAAGCTGTGCTGAAACTCCACATAACTTGCCTGAGAATAAGTTGTGTATAAATTTGCATATAAGCAAATAGTGTTTACACCCAAGGCACACTGAGGATGTATATTGTTTGGGTTATTATTCTGTGTATACTTCCCTGTGAGCAAACCTAAGTTAACATGGTAGGACCTACTTTTAAGTAAACATACTTGGTTACACTTGCAAAAAGGTTCTCAGGCTTTCATAGTTTGTAGATGGTTCACTACAGTCATTTTTCTTCTCTCAATAAAGCTTTTTAAAAGTATATATTTCTTAATCAGACTTTTAACTTATCTGGTACTCCTTGATAAAATGCCACATGAAAAGGTTATGTCTAACTTTTTGTTTTAATGTCCAGTAACACAATACAGTACAGCCTTGGCATTGTGAAAACAGACCTAGGAATAAACAGCTTTTCATATTTTTGTTTGAGTCCAGATTTTGTGTGTAGTATAAACGTTTATGATAAAAGTATTTGCTTCGTTTCTAAATTGGATGCTCTGATCTCTCCTGGATGAAGTGGCTTGTCTGATTCCATTGCATTATAAAATAATGCCACAGGAGACTGAAATGTGACACAAACTCTACTAAACAATGCAGTCTGAAATGCAGTTACAACTGGTCTAAAAATTTACTGTGGTTAACTTCTGAGCTTGACAGCCATTATATGCTGGCCTTGAAGGCAGTGTAGAAACTGTGACTGGTCCAGAATGGGGTGACTTTGTTTGTGGTTTGGGGGCTGCAAGTCAGGGACATATTATGCTGATTTTGTGAGAAATCCACTATTCTCCAGTTTGTGGACTACATTCAATGTGTGAATAAATGACAAATGGACGAAGGCAAAGCTATAGTATAAAATTAAAAATCTAACACTTCAAAAAGGGCAAAAAAAATCCTGGGGGAAATATCAACCCCATGGTTAAAGTTGAAATTATTTCCCTTGGGCATTTTGGACAAATAAGGGCTTTAGCAATTAGTGACACATAGGGCAAAATCTTAATGAGGCCTTCCTCTTCTTTTTAAAGGATTTACACATCTACGTAGTGGAAGGTAAGGAGGCCACTGGATATATAAAGGCATGTAACTAATTCTGCTGTACTCTTGGTGAGATCATTTTACCAGGAAACAAACATGTCATTCTGCAGTTATAAGCTTTTTCCTGAGTTCCCTTAAGGCTTCTTCACTCAAAACAGTTTTTGTAGGATGGTTTAATAAGTTAACTTGTCAAAATTAATTTGGGTGGGACACTGTGCTCGTCATTACCATTCAGACTTGTTGGGGTGGGTAAGGGACAGAAACATCTATACATACCTCTGCTTTCAGGCTACAACATGAACACTCTGCCTTTTTGCTTCTAAGCATCAGAACTAAATGACATGACATGTTCATTCAATAATTTGTGAAATAGCTGCTATCATGAGATGCAAGATACCTGTGGAGGAGGGGTTATGCATTGCCTTATGTCTATATTGTTGAAGGCCTGGTCCACTTGTATTGGCTGCAGTAAAAGAACGGTAGTTTTTGTGCAATAAACGACAATTATTTACATATGGAAGGAGACCAGTAAAAGTACTTGGTTTGGAGTGGGCTTACTCCTACTGACTTTAGTACTGGGGCAGGTTTTATGCACCCCTCTGTTTTGTCCGAATTTAGAACTGGATGGGACAATTGAGCCACTCTCTTGTTTTGAATTTCTTATAGTGCATTCTACATGTTTCATTAGAAGATATAGCTAACATGCATACTGATAACCACACTATCAAAAACGAAAAAGTAGCCCTAGAGTTGCTTCTGGTGGTGTAGTTGCCACTCCTAGAAATTACTCTTTCAGATGTGCTTTGATATGGGTGGCATCAAGTTTACAGAAGAACAGTTGATTGTATGGATAAATGGGACACACATATATATATATAACCTATAGATTTGCTCTCAGTAAGAATTTGTGTTCTTCTTTTCTATTTGCTTCATCGACATTCCGAAATTAGAGGACAACTTGCCCATCGCAGTCGAAAATGAAACCGTTTCTGATCAGACCAAACTTGGGGTAATGGAAGAAGTGGAGCTGGGCTCAGATGGAGCAAAACTAAGCAAGGGTGTTGCTGAAGAGGAAGCAGATGTTTTGATCCCTGGAATGACCAACTGTGCCCTTTCTACCTGTCAAAGAGTCGACCCCGAAGGCACAGAGCCTCAACCAGTGGCGCCGGAAGAGAAGTTCAGCAAAAGTTTGCCTGTCGCCCTTTTAGAAGCCGGTGAGCCTCGACCTGCGATACCAGCCGAAGAGGTTGGTGAGCCTCAAGCTGCCACAGAAACTGCCAACACTTTGCCTCCGGAAACTGTACAGGACAATCAGCCTGATCCTGTTGAATCAGCAGAGACAGGCACATCTGAGCCTGCAACTGAGGAAATTGTTAGGAATCTTGTAACGGAAATTGTGAAGGAGCTGCAAGTGGATGAAGAACAACAGACTGAGGGTAATAAGTTGTGCTATTTCAGACTGAGGAGGCCAAGTTCTGACCTGTATGCAGATTCCACCGATTTTAATGAATTTTTTGCATGCAGGTACATGAGGGCAAAAATCTTGCCCTGTGGGTTTGAGTTGTGTGTAGCTTTGACAAATTATTAGACTAAAAGGGGCTCCTCTAAATAACTGAGGTCAGCGCCACCAATTGTTGCCTTGTTTTGTTTCCTTGTGCTCCCATTTCATATACTTCGTTTCCTCCTCCGCCCCCAGCAATTTTTTATGCTAGGTGAGATGCTAACAGGAGAGTGGGTGGGAAAGCCCTGCTTTGGTGCATATTGCCAGAAGACAAATAGCACAAAGGCGACTGTACTTTGATTTGGTAATGGATCTGAACATTCTGACATCAAAGTAACTTGTTTCTCTTTTATTTTATTTATTTATTAGATTTGTATACCGCCCTTCATCCAGAGATCACAGGGCAGTTGACAAGTTTTTGCTAAATTCCAAATCAGTCCAGTCAAAATTATTGCGATGTGTATAATAGTTAACCAAAAATACAACGCTATTATTGGTTTCAGTCTGCTTGTGAAGTACAGGTAATAGTATTTATTTAGAATTGGTTTGCTGCATTACATCAAGTGTTTATCTTGGCCATTATCAGTCTCCCATCACACCAGGAAAATTCCCCTTTGAGATGCTGTTTGGCCCTGGCCTTTGGTAACTGTAGGTATTCTGCATCTGAATATATCAAGAGTTATACCTAGTGCTGGGGGGCTATTAGCTATGATAGCCATTTCCCATGACGAATCTTTTCTGTACCACTTTTATGGTACGTGCAGCAGGATTTCTGCAAAATGCAGGCTGTAGGAAACAAGGTTGTATTCATTTACTGAATGGTTTGAAAAATATCAAAATCGCTTAATGCATGGGTGAATGGAAATTCTGTTTACATGGACGTACATGTCTTGACACGTAGAATGCTGACAGATGAAAACCATATTATCTTTTGAATGAAATTTAGTAATACGACTTAAGTTACTTATTTCACCAACAACTTTTCTAAAAGTACACAGAGGACAATGGTAGGTACACTTTGATGTGGCAGATACATTTATATCAGCTGGCAAGTGCTGCATGTCTCCTGTGCTTTCAACTATTTCTTCTTTGATGTTATAAAGAACACCCATAGCATCAGTGGGGGCTGTTCCATTAGCACAAATGGAGCATTGCCCCACCAGCTTCAGGCAGGTGCCACCTGCCTGCCTCCTTACCATCAGCCCCAGGGGTAGCTTCTCAGTCTTAAGTGTTGCCTTTATAGAACTCTGCAAGAAGGAAGAGGATGGGGACAAAGCTGGAATTAATTGGTTTTGCCTGTCATTGGCTCCACCTCCTTTTGGCCTCTATTGCCTTCCATTCTACCAGTTCCAAAGGGTGCCAGCCACCAGTGCAGAACCTGCTAGGGCACTCAATACTCTTTCAGTGTTCCCTGGCTTGATCTCTATGGTTACTGTTCCAGGTGAGACAGGAGAAAAGAAGGAAACTGAGATGCACCGTGATGCAGTAAGTGAGGGCTCTGAAACAAAAGAAGAAATGGGAGAAGCTACGGCAGCAACAGAGATAGGTATGTTGATGGAGGAGCAAAGGGCTAATATATTAGAAGTTTAAAATGCTGTATTCCTATTCATAACCTTTCATTGGCACATCCTGGGTGCTGCCTGCATTATTTAAATTTGTTGTTGTTGTTGTTTAGTCGTTTAGTCGTGTCCGACTCTTCGTGACCCCATGGACCAGAGCACGCCAGGCACCTCTGTCCTCCACTACTTCCCGCAGTTTGGTCAAACTCAAGCTGGTAACCTCGAAAACACTATCCAACCATCTCGTCCTCTGTCGTCCCCTTCTCCTTGTGCCCTCCATCTTTCCCAGCATCAGTGTCTTCTCCAGGGAGTCTTCTCTTCTCATGAGGTGGCCAAAGTACTGGAGCCTCAGCTTCACGATCTGTCCTTCCAGTGAGCACTCAGGGCTGATTTCCTTAAGAATGGATGCGTTTGATCTTCTTGCAGTCCATGGGACTCTCAAGAGTCTTCTCCAGCACCATAATTCAAAAGCATCAATTCTTCGGCGATCAGCCTTCTTTATGGTCCAGCTCTCACTTCCATACATCACTACTGGGAAAACCATGGCTTTAACTATACGGACCTTTGTTGGCAAGGTGACGTCTCTACTTCTCAAGATGCTGTCTAGATTATTTAAATAGAGGTATTTAAAGTGTCCTGCAGGTAATTGCTTGTTTTTAAATCTGCCTAGGTTGTGTAGGATTAACTCCGAGATGTGGTCCTCCAAATGTTGAACTTTGACTTACTTCTGCCGCTAGCCAATCCGAGCAGTGGCCAAAGATTATGGGAACTGTAGCCTCGCAATACAGTGGTACCTCGGGTTAAGAACTTAATTTGCTCTCGAAGTCCATTCTTAACCACTTTAGCTAATGGGGCCTCCCACTGCCGCTGCGTGATTTCTGTTCTCACCCTGAAGCAAAGTTCTTAATCCAAGGTACTATTTCTGGATTAGCAGTGTCTGTAACCTGAAGCATCTGTAACCTGAAGCATCTGTAACCCAAGGTACCACTGTATATGGAGAAAACTAGGTTCCTCATCCCTGGTCTGTGTGTTTAGGTCTGCTCTAACCTCATCTAGAGGTTGTCAGCTTTTGTTTAAAAATGGCAGTAGGGACATGGGATGATGCCTTCTCCCAATGAGTTCCCACCACGTCTTGGCAGGAAACTCCCATTAACCCAGCCAGCATGACAGTGGTCATCAATGATGGGAGCTGCAGTCCAGAGCATCTGGAGGGCAGCCAGTTAGAATCATAGAGTTGGAATAGACCACAAGGGCCATCGAGTCCAACCCCCTGCCAAGCAGGAAACAAGCAGGTTGGGGAAGGTAGAGCCTGCCTGTCTGCCACTTACTTCCTACAACCCCCTTGGAAAGCCCTCACTTCGGCTGGGTTCACTTCTGTCATAATTGCACAGCTGTAGAGAAAAGTCCTTTGGGGAGGGGTCAGACTGTAGGGAAGCAAGCAGCAGGGCACTTGTGTGAACTCTTTTGCTGTCAAAATTGGACCACCCCTACCTGCTTTCGTCTACTTTGGCCCCAAGCCATTTGAAGCAGATAAGCTAGTTAAAAATAGACTTGGAAAAGATGCACATGTAGGAAATGAGAAGCTTAATTATACACATTTAATTCCATAGTTACTATTTGCCAAACACATTCTAATGATGATCAGATTGCTACCATGGCTCTGGGATTTCCCATTCTCGGATTTCTGTTATAATAGGTGAGGAATGGGTAGGGTTCAGAAGCTCACTCACTGGACAAAACAAAGCAAAGTACAGGTTTTGACTAGAGACAAAAGAACAAATGAAAAGGCAGGCAAAAGGGTTCATCGCTCAGGCCAGATCTAACATTACAGCACATCAATTTCCCTCAATCTTAATTGATGGTGGAGATTTCCTTTCTGTGAAACTGAAGGCCCCCTACTGCTTTGGAAACCAGGGTCTGCAATTAAAAGCTCATCGTAGCACCCAGGAGAAATGCTTGATATAACTACTGGAATTTCTTATAGTGGGAAGAGGAAGTGCCTGTGCATAAATATGTCCATGAAGAGATAGCTGTGTTTTGTCTTCCTAGCTCTCTCTCTCACACGGATATATATTTAGTAACTTGCTGTTTTGAGTCATGCAGAATTACAAATAAGAAGTAGTTGGAACCCTCCCCTCTCCCGCATTGCTCACTCTTTGCAAACTCAAATTACTGGTGTCAAGATTTCTTTAATTGAATCTGCTTTCTCAAATCAATTTGAAGCAAAAGATGACTCAACAAGTGTGAACTTTAAATGTTTTATCATATGGCGACACTTTGCATCAGGTAGCCCTAGTACTGGTCAACAGAGGCTCAGACGGCTTTGTCTTGTTTTACGTACCTTTCTGCACATGCTCCTTTCAATCCTCCAGTGTGATAAGCACTCCCATTTGGCTTTTGTTTAGCTGCTGTGTGATGCTGGGAGTCAATAGAGTATGTATTTATGGACCAGGGTGGGGAACCTCAGGCCTGGGAGATGTTCCCAGGCCACACCTCTCTCCAGCCATGTTTTGTACCACCCTCAAGTATTTTTTGCCTTGCTGGAACGTGTCCTTCAACTGTAATAAAAACTACTTGCTAGCCTGGATTGAGGATAGAAAGGAGTATACAAGCATGAGCAGAAAGTAGTCTACTGTACAAAGGTAAAATTTATATTGCTTGCTCTGACTACTTCTGCTTCTGGCCTGGCCTGGTATGTGCCCCCTGCCCCTAGTTGCCCAGAAGGGAATGCAGCCATCAAGCTGAAAAAGGTTCTCTAACGGTTATAAATTCAATATCCAATTATTTCCAGTTAAGAAAGGATCACCATTTTCATCTGATCTGATTCTTCCCAATAATCCACTTTAAGCTTTACTGCCTTACTTGCATTGTTCTGACATGCTAAATATTAGCAGCAGAAGCTTCTTCATATGATTCATACAGATGACTTCCTTTCAAAGAACTGTTCCTAGAATATATTTGTCTAAAAGTCATTGCCACTTTTAAAATTTT